GTTCCACAGAAAATATGCAATAGTTACTGAGATTACTGGGAGCAAGCACAAGGCAGACACAAATCACAGGAATTAAACAGCTAAAGCCCTGCTCAATTTACTGAGAGGCTACTATGCTTCTGGTATGTCAAGATCTATTTGTCTAAGTGTTATCGGGAAAAACAACATAATGCAGTGCACTGTACCTGGGATGCAAGGCCAGGAATCAGAATTTCTGGATCTTGATAAATGTTTATAAATATCTAAAGGGAGGTGGGAGGCAAATGGATAAGGCCGGGCTTTTCTTGGTGGTATGTAGTGACTGGACAAGGAGTAATGGCATAAAACTTGAACACAGGAAATTCTGTACTAACGTGTGGAAGAACTTCTTTATGATAAGGATGATGGAGCATGAGGTTGCCCAGAGAGGTTGTGGAGTCTCCTAGTAAGGAGACATTCAAGACCCATCTGGATACCTACCTGTGCAACCTATTGCAGGGTACCTGCTTTAGCAAAGGAATTGGACTCAATGATCTCTCCAGGTCCCTTCCAACTTCTGTGATTGTCATCTCGGCCCTGCCTCAGATGTATGTGGTGGCCCTGGAGCAGCAGCCTCACTCCCTGCACACTTACCAGAGCAGCATTGTGAGTTGTCTGCTCCACTAAGGAACTGGGCAGTCAGCTCCCAGCTTCTGCATGCTCGTCTGACAATGTGAATGGCACCATAAATATTACTGTTATATGTGAGACCTCTCCACGTTCGTCCCTCAGAGAACATCACTGTGTACCTCGGATCTGAGGCAACAGACCTGTGCTCTAGCACCAGGCCTGAGACCCAGCCCCATGGGGACTGCAGATGCAGCCTGCTGGCAGCACAGGAGCTACCAGGGTGCTCACCACCATGAGGGCCTTGCTTTAATCCTTCTTCAATATGTTAAAACTAAGGTGTTTACGAAATGGACTGGCTCTCCTCTCAGAGAAAGGCTTCATTACCGTCCTGCCAGTTGCAGGGACATAGCCCACTTTCTCAAAATTTCCTGGCTTAATGCAGGAATAACAGAGAGAAGGACCTATGGCCTGTTTATTTAGAAAGAAGAATTAGATGGCTTAAAATGCTTAAACACATGCTGGAGTTAATCTCCTACTGAATTTCCTAAGATCTTCATCTCTGAACCATTATCTTACTGGGGGCTTTGCTGGGGTATACTCTTATTCCAAGGAGATCTAAGGGGTCAGCTGAGGTGAGACAGAAGAGGCAAAAACCCCCAAGTAAAGCCACAGAATAGTTTTTAGTTAGTTTGCTTGCTTTTAAACAGAACCAGTTATCTCCTGTAATACAGGAACGCCGAGAAGTTCCATGAAATAAATGAGTTCCAGGCACAGAGGACGTGAGAGTACTCATGACCCAGGAACTGCACTCTTCTGCTCAGAGGAGCAGCAGCAGCTTCTTAATTATTCCAGAAACTGCTTATGAGTAAATATTTTGAAATTGCTGAGAAAAAGCAAGTGCTAAAACCATAAGGTCTACATCTTGTGCTGCATATAGTTTTGCACTCATCACTACTTGTAGGAATTAGTCCAGCCAACATCTCTTGTGGCTCTGGCATCCCCACCATCAGCCAGCCTCACGGTTCTGTTGCAGTACCAATTGTTATTGCCGGCTGGTTGGCTGGCGACCCGAACCTATACAAGGCTTTGCAAATCATCAGAAAAATCATCAAATCCCTGCTGTGGTCCATGGGGAGCCAGGACGGAAGGAAGGGAGTGCTCCCGGCTGATGCTGGGTTGCTAAGCACAGGGGCTGCTATGCCAGGGAGGCAGGACAGGGCTGGGCCATCAGGCTGGGAGCATATGAGCCCTCAATGAGCTGCATGCTGCTGTGCATTTACATAGCTTACGTACATTTACATAGTTTACACTGGAAGAAAGCACTGGCAGGGAAGGGTCAAAAGTACAAAGCTTGAGAGCTAAAGCCTACACTGACTGCACAGTAGCTGATAATGTCCTCAGCAGAAAAGCACTTAAGAGGAGGAACTGCAAGAAAATCAGGATCGCACTGCTAAGGAGAATTTCAAAGGCCAAAAGGCAAGAATGTTAAAAATATCTCCAAATAAAACCCACGTGACCTGGTCCAGCAAAGCTCCTTTGCACAAAAGCTGCGGGGTACGGATGCACCCCCTGTGAGCAAGGAGCACAGTGGAAAAAGGAGATTCCCCTCAATCTTAGTTTATGTGTCTAAAACAAAATGAGCTTTTGCTCACCCTTATCTGCATGATCTTAGATTCCTTCATGTGACTCACTTGACACCTACTTATTTCCCAGTGCACATATTTAACAGTTTCCCTGGGCATCTTTCTCACTTGGATGGTGCCTGAAACCAGAGCTCTGTCATTCCCCAGTTACTACCCACACCACACTCTGTCCCATGTACTTCCCTCTCCTTAGAGAAGGCAGAGTACTCACAGAGATGCTGGCTGTGGCCAGGCCAGCCCATGTCTGCTTTCACTTCCTCCAGTACAGTCGCATACCTCAGTATTGGTGCTTTAATTCAGACTGATGTAACCAAGATTGAAATCTGTCCTATAGCAGATATTTCTCAAAGCTTATCAAAGAAGAACCATACCAGAAAAGAAGCAAGAAAAACAGAGAGTGCCACTAAACTTTGCTAAGATAGGTTTCAAAGTCAGTGAAAGCCACCTGAGACAGAATTAAAACATACAACAAAGTAGCACCCTGAAAAAAAACAAAAATTTCCGAGCAGCGATGTGCTACAGATCCCATAGAACATTTGTAATTACTTATAACTAGCAAAGACTAAGGAGGAAGGCCTGCACAGAACTAACAGCAGATGAGTAAAGTCAGTGCTCACTGCTGGGTTGCTTTAGCCAACACCTTCACTGTGGTATGCACACCCATCACAGCTCCCTGCTTGGGCCAGTAGCTGTATCTGCACAGCAGGAAGGAGGAAAAAGAACAACATGTGAAACTGGCTTTATGGACGATATAAAATAACAGGACACCACACTTTAATGAGATAATTAAAACTCTGTTGCTGCTTTGCTACATGCCAAGGACACTCAGTTTCTTGGCAACAGCCTCTAATTTTCCTTCTTTGATATCCAGGTCACAGCCATTTGAATTAGAGGCTCATTTCCAGCAGCAGAGCACAACAATGGCACACAGCTTTCTGTCCGAGCGGAAGCTTTACCCCAAAGTTCAGTGCCTTTCAACTACATATTGACTGTAACTGCAATTATAAAAACTGAAAGCCTTTATGATGGGGAATATCACAATATTTGCAGAGGTGAGGTGAGACTTTCATATTCAAAAACTGGATAGCCTTGTGCAGTATAAGCAACTTCTCACATCAGCAGCAGTTAAGTCTGTATTGTTCCAGCTAAAGAATGTGACTGAAAGCGTAAAGAGGAAGAGAAGGAAAACACCTGTTCCATCCCCGGCTCCCCAGTTTCTTCAGAAATTAGGTCTACCCAATCCCTAATCATTTGCTATCACCCCACCTTTTCAAGAGGAAGGGGAGTGCTGTGTGCTGGGCAGATTACATGTGGAAATCACGTACATTTCTGCTGGGCTTTGGCTGAGGCAGTCAACTGGCAGGGAAGCCCGCAGCCCTCACCAGAGCTCATGGAGCAAGCTGGATACAGCCTAGGGGTGACCAAATGTCTCCAGGCGATTCACAAGGCCTCCTCATTCCTAACTATGCCTAACAGCTGAAAGGCAAGAGGACACACCTCTTTTTGAAAAGCAGATGCTTTTTCACAAAGGAATACGGAGCATACTACCAAGGAACTGGTAAGAGAACAAATCATACAGCCCAGATGGCAGTCACAGTGCTTAATGCACTGCTGGAAGGTGCCCAGCTAGCTTGGTGATGAGTGACAGAAGAACGTATAGAGAATAATGTTCTTTGTTAAGTGCCAACTATTTATTACATTATATTCAGAGAACAGCTGAGGCAAATTAACCACAGCAACCATTTGCTGTTCTCTCAGACAGCCCTGAGATAGTATCTGTACTACTCCTGTGGCTGATGGTAGCTTCTGGGCAGATATGAGCTTGTTCAAAGCAAACCTAAAGCCAACTGCCCAGGTTAGCATACTGCCAAACCCTCATCAACAAACCACTCCACAGGTATACGAGCTTATACCTGCTCCTATGCCAACAATCACTTGGGTTTTGGTCAACTTGGAGTCTGACCAGAACAGGCCTGCATCCACTCAAGACTGCACACTAAGAACAGAGCTGGCTGCCCACCTATTGCACTAGTGAGTGAAGTGCTCATCGACCCAGCCACAGCAGGGTGACTGGGAACACATTCTTAAATATGTCTCTTAAATCGGTCTTAAATCTGATCAAAAGCAAGTATAAGACAAGATTTCTGTACTATTCATAACATCATCCATGCTAGAAACATCCAAGTTGCTTTTTTTCCACTAAAAAGTCACTATTTTCATCAAAACAATATTGTTGCAAAGAGGTATTTGGCAGAACACTGGAAGATTGTATTTTCCACCTGTTCTACATTTGATCTTGCAGTAGGGACAGGTGAGTTAAACAAAGTACAGTCCTGACCACAAAATCTGGATTGCTTTGATATTCTGGCAGTGAAGACAATACAGCTTTGCTCCAGAGAACAGCTTGGCCCTGTAGATCGGTACCTCATACATAAAAGCAGGAACAAAGTTTTACTGAGATGGCTATTCTCCTCTGACTATGAGCACATCTTAAATACTGCTGTTGTTTCAACAGTTAACAAGAGTAGCCATCTTCTACATTACCTCCTGAGGAGCAAGGTATGCAAGAAATCCATGGTTGTTTTGCACAAGCTGTCTATGCTTGAGCCATCGATGTCTACATTCACTCATATGCAACATCCAATAAAACACAGATTAAAGTAGAAGGCGAGTTACACAGTCTTGGCAATCTTACTGTTCTACATAAGCCAACTCAATAACACAGCCTACTGCAGTTAGGATACTTGTGGAAGTAGTTTTAAAATCTAATTTAAGATGTTTCTGCTATGTTTATTTGGGTTATAAGAACATTCCACTGTATGATGGCATGCAATACATACATACCTGGCCCCAAAGGAAACCCGTATCATAGCATCTGCTAAAATCCATTAAATTATAACACAGTTTAAAAAAAAAATCTAGTTAAGTCAGAAAACAGCATACAATACACCCTATTGCCCATGATGATAAATTAGTCTTAACTTTTTACTATCGTTTAATGATTTTTCACTGACAGTAAGAACTTTGCTATGGAGGTATGACTGCTCAAGATACATTGGAGAGCTATGCGATTTTCAGAATTCAGTTTTCAGATAGTAAAAATGTATCTCTTTAATCATCCGGGAAGCGGCATCTGAGAACAGGCATGACAAGGAGCTTTTCTATTCCTGAAATTTAGGCTCCCTTTAATGCAGGATTAAAGAATGCAAACACACAAACCTACGGCCCTCAAACTGTACATTCTCCTGGAAGATCTGAGTGTGCGAAGGCACCAGTAAGCACTGTACATATATCCATGATCATGATGTCCGGATTTCATTTTGGGTCAAAGCACAGCAATGTCTGTGAATCAATCAATGAAGTACAGATCTCTCGAGAAAAATTAAATCAGTTGTTACTGTCCTCCAAAAAAGAATGGAGATCTTCATTTGACCATAGTCAATGGTTCTCCAGTCTCAGAATCCCTCACTTTCAGATGCAAGTGCTTCATCAAGAGACTTTGTATGCCTCTCCCCAGTGTAAATCCCATAATGTAGTTTGTCATCCTTTACAGTAGCCCAGGACATCTGCTTGGTGGAGAACCTCGCTGCCCACTCTCCAGAACTGCTAACAACGATGACACCTCCCAAGCCCCCGACTCGAGTCTTCATGTATTCTAATGCAGTGTCAGCAGCCATCTCTGGTGACATTCCTGAAAAGAGGAACAAGATAACTTCACAAAATCTGCCTTGAGAAGAATTTTAAAGTTCTCTTCAAGATTCACATCCTCCTCTTGCTTCCACATCAGAGCCAGCCAAATCTAATTCTTCCTTCAACTAAATTGACAAAAAACTTCCAGTTCAGGAACTGAACTGCTTTATAGGAAGGCACTGGACAGTCGCAAACAGCTTCTACAGTACAGTTCTGCTGCAAAGACTGGGTTTGAGTAGCTTCAGATTATACTCAGGTTTCAGCATTTGATACAGACTAACTCATCAACTCTATGTTCAAGACACAACATTTTTTATGCCATCATTTGAGGGAAAAATGCCAATCTGCAAGCTTTCTCTCATAGGTATGCCATTAGCTACATTTATACTTTGGGAAAAGTTATTAAAACAACAAAAAATGCCAGTTGTCATCTGCGTTCAAAGTCCACGGCCGTAACAGAGCCCAAAGCATCTTATTTCACATCTCCACAATTTACTGAAAACAGATCAGCATTATCCTTCTTGAAACTTCTGAAAGTATCAAGTAAGACGAAGACAGGGACACCAGAAAGCACCAGCAAAATGACTCTATCTGTTCCTTACACTTAATTCATCATAACAGGTATATGTGAATTCTTAAGTTACTGTGCACATCATCCTCACACGCCTCTACTAGCTGCACAGTATTTCTTCATTGCAAGTCTGAACACACAGACTATCAGTAATGTTATGCAGTTCATGATGCAGAATAAAAAATGACCTTCATGTCTTCTTTGCAAATTTCAAGTTAAAACCAAACAAAACCAGCAGAATCAGAATTATTCACAGCACTGGTGACTGACAGGATAGAGCACCATTCCATGTCATTATGGGTGACACTGTGACTATTCAAGTCAGCGGCACTGACTTCAAAGGGTCAGCATTTCACTGTTTGATTTTTCATCAAGACAACAGCTGCTGCCATAAGGCAGAGATTCCAATAGTTGTTGAGACTGGCAAAGCCATTCCTTCATAAAATAGCAAACTAAAATTTCTAACACTGGCTGCAAAAGAAGGTATTTGCTGTGTAAATTACTGAATAGCAAAACAGAATTACAGAACAGCTTTATTGTTGTTTTTAAACATGAAACTTCAATAGAGCATTCAAAGACTCAAAAAGTTGTAAGAACTTGGGGGATTCTTTTCAGCATCTTCATGGAAACGTGGGGGAAAAACTAAAGGAAAGCTACTGTTGATGAGTTTACCTGGCATCTGAGTTGCATTTCTGGGCAGGATGAATGAAGGTAGAACAGGGTAAATAAGCGCAAATAAGTATTCATTTTAAGCATGCACACATGTGGACTGATTATTCTATTAGTACTTTTGTTTTAATCTGAGCCGCATTTGCCTGGTGTATCATGAGCCAGACACCTATCAGTGCAGAGGTCTTGCAGTGGAGTGAACTTACATTTAGAGAAAAAACTCGTTTGCACCCGAGCTTGAAAATCATTCACAAACTGAATGGCTAGGGACATAATATAAAGAGTATATAAAGAGGAGACCATGATGTGACAGAGCTTTGGAAAACAATCTGTAGGTTATATTTTACACTGAAACTGTAGCACGACCAAAGAGATTTGCAGAAAAGTGCACCCATTATATGCAAACAGCAAAGCAAAAAGCGTAACAAAAATATTCTCAGCTGTTATGTCTTTCTACTTACTGCTTCCCTAACAAAAAAGTAAACGGAAAGTTTTCCAACTATTTCCAGTTCATCTGATCTCAAAGTGAGCTACACTGTACAATCCCAGAGCTATGGCTAAAAATAGTATCTATACTAATGGTTCTTCAATTGCACGCAATGCAAGTATGTTGTCTGGCAATGTTTACTGGCTGTAACATAATGAAGGGTTTAAATGAGAGGCTAAATCATGAAGGTAAAGCTTCACAGGGTCATCCCACAGCCAGATGATATTACAGTCACATCAGACATACTGTGTCAGCTGTTTGCCACATACCCACCCAGTCAGTTCGGTAGATTTTCCAAAACAAAATGAAATTGTAAATCATACTCAAAATGTCTTAAAAATATTTCTGTTGCTATAATCAGAGTTGTTAAAACAAAAATCATCACAGCTTATTAGACAGGTGATTTTCTGAGCTTTCTTATTTCAGCTCTTATTCTTGTACCTCCAACTCTTTCCTATTGTTTCCTTTAAAGTGTTGTTTTTGTTTTCTATCTTTGTTCAAAAAAATTATTTTAAAACTAAATAGGCTTTATAAAAAAAAAAAACTTCAGATAGAGTACAAAATAAACAATCGTATATTTTAATATACCTTCATCAAAAAATGATTTAACATCAAGAAGCCCAAATATTTCTTTCCACTCAGAGCAATGCTAACCTTATTAACACTTCAGTACTTTGTTTTTTCTAAAGAGGTGATCAATCCACATACACCACAGTAGCAACTTTTTTGACAGCTGCTCTGAGGTGACAGTACATACGCTGCCATCTGTCATTAGGCAACATTCCCCATCCTCCCTATTTCAGCTTACAAAAAGTTTGGAAGATACCTTGCTCCATGTGATAGAGGATCAGTCGGGCTAAGACTACTTTCATAATGCTCTCTCCATGTCCTGTGGTTGAAGTGGCACCAGAACAGTTATCAGCATAACCTCCGCTTCCTTTTCAGAGAGAGAAAAAGAAAAGCAGTATTTTGGATAATACAATTTACAAGCTTTGCAATGTTTATAGTAACACACTTTTCCTAAGGGTCCAGGAGTTCTGTGCACTTCCAAGAGCAAAGTGTCAGTAAGTCGCATCTTTCACATTTCTGCCTCAAATTCAACACTGACAGACATCAGCAACAGCTAGATGAAGTCAAATGCCAATTTACAAGAACTAGAAGACCAGTGAGCTGATTGTGCCACAAAAGCCAGGAAAAGAGGGAAAAAAAAATTCCAGAATAGTGAGGGACAGTATACTGAGGATCAATACTGGATCCAACAGGATCCAGTAGAATGCAAAATGCCAGATCACACAATATTACAGAGACGGAATGACAAAAGACCTTGTGAGGACAAGATGAAGTGACCAAAATTTGTGGGGGATTTGACTGCAAGAGCAAAATCAGAGCAGAGATTTGAAAAGCCGAGCTCTGGTGAATCATCATGAAGCACCCTGAAGAATCTCTCAAGTCCTCACCACAAGCAGACTATTTCTTTTGTTTGAACTCTCACTCCTTTTTTTTTTCCCTCATCCTTGTTTGACTGGCACATTCCACACTGTTCTACACCAAGCTTTGGCTTGCTCAACACCCATATTTCTAACACATCTTCTATGAAAAACATTTCCCAATTGCAGGGAGGTGCATACCACAGAGTTACATGGATAAGCAAGGTACTTGTGTTGGGCTGGGGAGCAAAAGAGGTGCAGAAGAGCTGTGAAAGTTTCCTCCATTTCCTACTTTCCTGATCAGATTGGTCTCTTTCAACATATTATGATTTACGTGTGGAAAAATGCTGCCACAATTGACCTGTCAAATTCCCTTTCAATAATCTCATATCTTCAACAGGACAACTGTTACTTCAGTATCCAGTTCTGCAGACCTCCAGTAAGAACAGAAGTTGAAAGCAGTATACTGAATGGTGCCATTTTCACTTCTTCCCCACAAACGTTTTCCATATTATGAATGCCATGAACATGACCCACCTAAGAAAAGGGTATTTGCAGTCAGAAGGCAGCAGTAAGCAACGAAGCTGAAAATCATACTCAAACCAAGGGGTATCAGAACATCAGTAACTCAGGCTGTGCGAAAAAGTTAGTTCTGTAAAACAATCACGTGCTGCCAACAGCAGTGCTATCTGAGTTTGGAACATGCTTTACTAAAAATAATTATTTTCCAAATCCCAACTCAGTAATATAATCCTGAAGTAATCAAATGGCAAGTTTGTCCCACAAGAGAAACAAGTCTGGGGAAGGGATTTCAAGTGTCTCTTTATATTCTGATAAGAGAGATCTTAAAATATTTCCTTGATTCTACACCACATCCATTAGGCTCTGAGGCAATCTTATCTGGGCTCTCTAAGAACAGGAATTTACTCCAAGTTGCAAATCGTTTGGCAATTCTGGCTCACTGATTTGACAGTCATTACAATTACACATACATTAAGTATGAAGAAAACAGCACAGAATTGACTATGCTTTTTGCTTGGCTATGAGCATAGATGTTCATATTGATAGTTTTATTAGAATGAACGAACAGAAGACACACAGAAAAATAAATCAGCATTCAGAAAAGGACAAAAATTCAAATTCCCATTCCCACTTTCCAAACAGAAAAGTGGGATGATGATGACAGCACCGTATCTTTACTTCTAATCCCTATTTGCAAACTGAGGTTTGTATTGAGGAGCTTCAGTTTTCTTACATTTGAATGCCAGACCTTAGTTTCAGATGCATCACTTTTTCTTTCATTCCACTAATAGAAAGGAGAATGTGTGACAAACACTAAAATTTTTAATGAGATACCTCCAAAAAACAAGAGGCAAGTCCCCACAGCCCATACCTATGCATGCTGTGTCACCAACACGGCCGACCAATTTATTAGAGAGTCCTCCAGTGGATGTTGCACAAGCTACATTTCCTTCACTGTCTACAGCAACAGCACCAACTGTTCCCAGGTCTCTGCCAAGAAAAACAGTTCACAAAATTAGGTAGAATCAAAACATACCTGCCAAAGCATGCTGTATTTATCTTCTAGGTTGCTTTAAAGAAAAAATCAAAAAAGATTATTGCAAAAAAAATACTGCTCATCAGAAAGCCATTTTTATCATGCTTCTCATTACAAAAATAACCAGTAAAAAGCAATTCTCACAACTTTTGTTTTCTGTGCAATGAAATAGCTCTTAACTTTTTTTTTAAAGAGTCTGATCTCTCCCCATGACTTATTTACTATCAGCAGACCTGGAGCAGTTTTTTGGCTATGGCATGCCTAACGTTCAGCTTTCCCCTAGCGCCAACTCAAAGACACAAGAATCATCTCCCACTGTCTTAATGAGCAGTTAACTCAAATTATTTATGACAATGAACGTAAACAAGTAAATACATAAAAAGAGTGCATTGTTAGAATGCACTGAATCATTTCCTTCCTGTTCCTCCTCTTTCCTTTTCCTTACTCCCTGAAATGCTTGAATGCCAAAAAAAAAAAAAAAAAAAAAAAAGGTTATTTATGTGGCTTTCAATTAGTATTGTTCATAATGCATCACTAATACATACTTGTATCTCTGTACTTTGCAGCTAAGCAATCTTGAGGTTTAATTGCTTGGTCAGGAGAATGTTAAAACTGCAAACCATTTAAAAAATCTTCATTCACTGAAGAAAATGCACGTTTCAACTACTGCCTGATTTCTTCAGCAGCCGTATTTAATAGGCTGCTTAAAATATACATGTAAGTTCATAGTGGTAGGAAAAAAAGGCTACTCAACTTACCATAACAGTTGCTGTACTGAGAAGCAAGACAGTACTGAGAAGCAACAGTTTGAGGTCCAATCTTGGCAATTCACATAAGTACATGAAATCACATTTGGTTGGGAAAGCTATATCCAGAAAGTCTCAGTCCTTCCACAAAGGAAAATAATTCGTGCCAATCCTTCAGTGAACTGCACAACTATTTTTGGATGTTGTCTGAGCACTGGTGAGGGTCTCTACGTAACCCCCAAAATCAAAGCTAAGTTCATTTTGGTCACAACAACCCCATGCACTTCTACAGGCTTGGGGCAGACCGGCCAGAATGCTGTGCAGAGGAAAAGGATGTGAGGGTGCTGGCTGATGTACGGCTGAGCACGAGCCAGCAGTGTGCCCATGTAGCCAAGAAGGCCAATGGCATCCTTGGCCTGTATCATAAGCAGTGCAGTCAGCAGGAGCAGGGAGGTGATCGTCCCTCTGTACTCAGCTCTGGTGAGATTACAGCTTGAGAACTGTGTTCAGTTTTTGCCCTCTCACTACAAGAAAGACATCAAGGCCCTGAAGAGTGTCCAGAGAAGGGCAACAAAGCTGTGAAGAGCCTGGTGCACAAGTTTTATGGGGAGCGGCTGGGGCAGCTGGAATTGTTCAGTCTAGAGAAAGCTCGGGGCAGACCTTATAGTTCTCTACAACTACCTGACAGGAGGTTGTGGCAAGGTGGAGGTCAGCCTGTTCTCCCAGGTAACTATTGACAGGACAAGAGTAAATGGCCTCCAGTTATGCCATGTCAGGTTCAGGTCAAGTATTAGGATAAACTTTTTCTCCAAAAAGAATGGTTGGGCACTGGAACAGGCTGCCCAGGCAAGTGGTGTAGTCACTGTCCCTTGAGTTGATCAAGAAATGTGCAGATGTGGTACTTAGGAACATGGTTTAGTGGGTAATATTGGTGGCAGGCGGACTGTTAGATTAGATGATTTTAGAAGTCTTTCTCAACTTGCTATCATGATTCTATGATATCCAGTCAATTTCTCACAGAACCAACTCCCAGTTCCTTCCTGTTTATGTAAAATATCTTACTGTCAGCCCCTACACTACATTCACAGCAATTCAAAGTTGACTGATGACTCAGAGGACTTACAGACTGCTCTGACATTTATGTGGAGACGAACCTAATCTCAAACTGGTATGCTGGTGCAGATGGGCTTCCCACCCATCCATCTGTTACAAATAGTTTGCTAAAGAGAATATTAGGAGATTCAGTACTCCCTTGCTTAGACATACAGTGCCTTTCAACTAACTAAAGTTAGATCCTCCTGAGAAATTAAGAAACGCATGTTCAGATCTACATCTTCCAAGGTATGTATTTAGAATCACAGAACTGTCTGAGTTGGAATAGACTCTTAAATAGGGTTTATTTTATATATATATATATATAATAATACTCCAAGATTTTATATATATATCTTATATATATATATATATATATAAAAAAGAAAAAAAAATAATACTCCAAGTCCCCTGAAAAGAACAGGGACATGTACAGCTACATCACATTGCTCAGAACCCCATCCAGCCCAACCATGAATGTCAGGGATGGGGCATCTACCACTTCTCTAGGCAACCTGTTCCAATAAAAAATTTCCTTATATCCAATCTAATTCTCCCCACTTTTAGTTTGAAACCATTTCCCCATGTCTTATCACAACAGATTCTGCTAAAGAGCCTGTCCCCTTCTTAGCAACAGCCCCCGTTTAGATACTGAAAGGCTGCTATCAGGTCTCCTTGGAGCCTTCCCTTCTGCAGACTGAACAGCCCCAACTCTCTCAGCCTGTCCCTGTATAGGTATTCCATCCCTTGGATCAGTTCTGTGGCCCTCCTCTGGAAGTATGGCAGGAGGTCCATGTCTGTTCTGAGGAGCCCATGCCTGGATGCAGTACTCCAAGTGAGGCCTCACCAGCACAGAATAGAGGGGCAAGATCACTTCCCTCGACCTGCTGCCCATGTTTCTTCTGGTGCAGCTCGGCGTACAGCTGGCTTTCTGGGCTGCCATGAGAATACTGCAAGTACAAAGATTACACATGCAGCAGGTATCTACTTTGTACAGGAGCACCAATAAATGATAAAGTGAGCGTGCCCAAAACATATTAGCTGTTGTGGAGCAAATACAAAACTAGACTCTAATTACTGTTCTTTTAAACTTTTGAGTACTTCAGTGTCATGTTTTCTTTGTTCATCTTCAGAAGGCAGATATGCAACAACTCGTTGCATAGTCCACTGACTCAGAAACACTAACAAGGCAGACAAAACTGTCTAAGTAGAAACACTGTATTATAGTCATAGGTCTAATGTTAATGTCTGTAGGAATAACTCCACAAGTACCTGTGCTACACACTAGAGCAGGGCTGTCCAACCCTTTGGCTTGTGTAGGCTGCATTGAGCAAACAGGAATTGCCTTGGGCCACATATAAAATATACAACAAATTTAATGAATTTTAATCGCAAACCTTATTTTTTTATGGAGGTTTATTTTTTTTTTTAACATAATAAAAAAGAGCAACAAAAAACCAGTGGGATGTCTGACCTTGTTTTTGGGAAACTGATGCATCAGTCTGGTTTGATGGCAGTAGCTGCCGTTCTTTCTAGAACGGCAAATCTAGTGAATTCTAGAGCTGTTTGTCAGATCTTTGATGAAATATTACTCTTCCCATGCTCCATCCTTGGTAATAACCATTCACAAGTATTCACATCATTGTTTTTTGGCAGTATGTATAAGGCACGGCTGTGAAACAAGGGATATTTTTCTATGATAAGAGATCTTCCTGATGAATAGATGTGACCAAATTTTTCTTCGAGCTGAATGTCTGGTTACAACTCCATACAATCCATGTGAAAATTTGCAAGTAATGTATTTACTTCAACTGAAAACAGAGTTGCAAATACATTTTAAAAAATTGATTTTTTTTTGAAATCTTGAAATCTTAAAATCAAAATGGAAGGCAAAGAAAGCTGCATATCTTTCAATGTTCACAGGACTGCATATAGCTGATGTTTCAAAATGCAGGAATCAGAAATGCTAAATATTAATTTTAGTGTTCAGGTTCCAGCACAAGTTTTCCTTTCAATTCTATAAAGGACTCAATCCCACTTTGCAAATCATGAAGTCATTTTTAACATTTTACCCCAACGTAGCCACCTTCCTTCAGAAAAGTAAATGATGACCCCACGATCAGCATGCACACTTCTAAGGAACTCCTAGCATTGGTGATGATTCAATTCCTTGGACTTTAGGAAATTCACAACTTTGATGACTGTTTACATGACACTATTTTTAAAGCTTACCCACAAGCATTTTCTTGCTGCCCAACATAGTCAAATTACATCAAATCTGATTTATCAGTGGTAATGGCATCATCTCCTATAGAATTTTCTCACCCCTCTTCTTTTTCCTTTTTTAACCAATCATCATCAGGGCACCATCAGTAGCTACATCAGATACGTTGATAAAGGTTAAATAAAATCCCTTCAATGTTTTTTTCTTTTTTACTGCTTCACACAAATAAAGAGATTTAGTTGTGTCTTTCAATGGCACCAAAGAAGCCATTTTTGTCAGTGACTTTACATCAGTTATCATCACCTCTAATGAAAATGGCAAGTAGAGCCATATCTGTAGCATCAGTACTTTCACCTATTGCCAAAGTATGAAATTTGAAATTAACAGCATTACTCTCCAAATTTCTTTTTGATATACATTCCTGTTCCTTCATTTCACCTGGCTATCTAGCTCAATCACCCAAAAAAATTAACTTATTTTTTTTTTTTTTTTTTTTTTTTTAAATCAGAACATGTTATATCTGTCATGCTTTCCATTCATCACTTAAAGTCACCATCAGGAAACAGTTCTTATTTTTTTTATTATGAAATTTGCTATCTCTTAACTAGCTTTTGTAACAGAGTCCAACTGAGTTTTAACTTTTTAAAAAATATATTTTGTTGAGGTGACAGACTTTCTTCAGTTCCACTGTTTTGTCCTTATGAAGCATTCAATGCTCAGGGGGCTGGATCATCTCCCTGATGGGGACAGGCTGAAAGAGCTGGAGCTCTACAGCCTGGAGAGGAGAAGGCTTCAGGGGGATCTTATAGGGCCCTTTCAGGCACTGGAAGGCTGCTACAGGAAAGCTGGGGAGGAAAATTCTATAAGGGCATGTAGTGACAGGACGAGGGGAAATGGCCTTAAACTGGAAGAGGGCAGATTTATACTAGATAATAGGAAGAATCTTTACTATGTGGGTGGTGAGACACTGGAACAGGTTGCCCAGAGAGGCTGTGGATGCCCCCTCCCTGGAAGCATTCATTGCCAGGCTGGATGGGGCTTTGAGCAACCCAGTCTAGAGGGATGTGTCCCTGCTTATAGCAGGGTGTTCTAAGATTCCTTGGTATGCAATGAATTTGGCAGCACGTTTCTGCGTACAGTGTCTTTTCAAATTGCAGTATTTGAGAACTGAGACAATTTCCTAGCAAATCAAGCATAGTGCCATATTATATGCCAGCAGTACACAGTGCCCTCGCTGTACCCCAGGCCCAGGTCAGGCTGCAGTGTGAGCAGTGCTGGAATTCTCAGGGAATCTTCAGCAACTCTAGAAAGCATATGGTCAGAATCTCTGGTCTGAGAGACAGAAGATAAAAAAAACAAACAAACAAACACAAAAAACCTCTACATTTTATTATTAGTAGAAGGGGCACAAGATAGCTGAATGTACATGCAACAGAATCATAATTTCTGAATGTAAATGAATGCAGGCTTCTAAATAGCAAAAGAGAAAGCTCTCTCTTCGTCCAAGCTCCTTGCTTGGAAAGCTCTGAACGTCTAAGGCTTCTAAAAGAGCCAATAAACTCTGAGAACCTGACTAAAGGTTAAGTACAAGCCAACCTTCACATTCCCAGTATTAGCTGGTGTTAGGTTGCCTCCGACCAGTAGTACTTCACCTCTGCCCATTTGCTTCAGGCAAGTTTCTGCATAATCACTATAGACATAATGAGAAAAAAGAACATTCCACACACAGCACAGGAACAAACAGGTTGGCATAAAGAGACCTCTCTTCAGCTTTGTGAACTTCTGCCTATGTTAGTGGGCAGCGCTTGTCAGGAAAAGCACAGTGTGGCCAAGACAAGAAGTCTCAAACTTGTCAGAAATATACAAATCTTCAAGTATTGGGTACTCCAGAATAAGAGAAAGCTGAAATTAAAGATGCCTAACACTGTTAACTATAAGAAAAAAAAGGGGCAAAGTAATTATAAAGAATGATCAGAGACTCAGATGCCATGCTTCCAGCTCTCTTCTTCAGGAGGCCAGGGGACACTGGCAGCTACACCATTCTCAGAATTCCTGGCAATGAGCTGTAACACCACACAGCCCCTGCATACCACACAGATTAAAAAAACCTGAAACTTCCAGGGGAGACAAGATGAACGACAACGGACACCTCACTTCGTTTACAAGACTGTATTTACACTTGTATCAAGACTTTGTTTTTCCTTCCAGCAACTTAATGTAAGTAACGTATAGCTTATATACATTATGGCCTAACTTCATTGATTTTAGTTAACATGCCCACAGAAGAAGCTTCTTCCTTTTCTCTGATCTACAAATTCTTCAGCTCTGCTTCACTTAGTACTACTACTTCACACAGCAGACTAGCAGCAGTATGTAATACAGTATTTTCCTATGCAGCAACTGTTGCCATACAAATGCAAACTCAAAACAATTCAGTATTCATGCCTACCTCATGGGCATAAAAGATATTTGACACCTCATGATTTTCATTCTTTTCTCATCCACCTTGTCTTCCTCTCTGGTTTGTTATGTGAAGCCTGCTTATTTTTCAGGTGACTTTCATTTTGCTGGCGTGTAATATCATCCAACAGCATCTCTTCTCACACCCACCACTACAATGAACCTCCTGGTCATTTTCTCCTTCTATCTACAGTAACCAATAGTCACAATCAGCACTTGGCACACTTGATCAAAATATGACACAGTTTAACTACCTAGACCAGTTTAAAAACAAGTCGGATCACCTGCTTAAGACCAGCTTTATAATTTTATTTTTCACATGGACTTCGTAATTTTAAACAGTGGACTGGAGAGTTCCTAACTCACAGTTCTTCTTTGGAAAACTTACTTACTCACTTAAACTTCAGCAAATTCACTAGAAGCTGGATTTTGAGGGTGTTTTTTGCTTGTTAGTGTTTTGAGGACATATTGGGAAGATTATGGCAAACCACAGTTCACTCAGAACTGAAATATTATCAAGGCTGACAACAGGCCTTCAAGCTTTGGGATTTTTCTTCTTTTAGTTTTTTTGGGGGGGTCTTTTTGGAAGGAGAGTGGCAGGGGGTGTGTGAACTGATTGCACCAAGTAAACTACCTGAATTAAAAAAAAAAAAAAAAAAAAAGTTACAAAAACCTACTTCTGGAACTCCACAGGGTTGGAATCTGGCTCAAGGTTCTTCTTCCATCTCTCCCGAGACCTCTCAGTTATGAGTTTCTCCCCTGGAATCTCAGGAACACCCATGGCCTGAGCAAAGAGGCGGGCGCCATGGTCAGTTAGCAGCATGTGCTTTGTCTGCAGAAGACAGGCAAAAAATTACTGACACCTCCTGTTTTTCCTTATACAAACTGCTCCCTATAGTCACTATTTTTTAGAAGGATGGATGTAAAGAACATTCCAAATTTTGTTTCATTTTTAAACTTCCTGGTTTTCTGTGCCTACATCCAGAAAATTTTTAATGCAATACAGTCAAGTGGTTCTTAACAAAAGCTAAACCACTTTGCTTTTAATACTTCTTTCAACAACCTGCCATTCTCACAGACCCAGAATTTCCTATTTAGGAACTGAATATCATTCTAATAGATTTGATAAAAATTGTTTGCTCTCTTCAAACAACATTTGCATGTGCAGAATCTCTATATTTATTCCTCTATTTAGCAAAGTACTTAAACCAGATTTTAAGTCAACAACCTTGGTCAAATCCACACTTCCAAGTCTGCATGGCTTGCTTAATTCCTATTTTTTTATAAACTTACCAGTTCAGTTTGTTTCATTAATCCTTATGCTTTAGCAGGATCTCCAGCATCTAATTTGTTTTTTTTTTTTGTTTGGAACCTGTGTCCAAAATAATCCATCAACTTTTTGGATCACGGTGTTCATTGCTCAGCAGAGCCTAGGAAGGCAGGAGCAATGGCCTGACAATACAGGACTCACAGCAGAACACTGCTACCTTTAGGCAAGCTTGTACATCCATGCAGCAACATGGGGACCAGGCTAAGGTCCAAAAGCAAATTCAGGAGATGCTGCAGACAGCAGGCCTGCAGAGCCCTGCAGGGCACCCGCTGGCTCTGCTTCTCAGCCTGCAGTGAGGATTCCCAAATCTGGTATTTATTTCTGTGACACACTGCACTGACACAGTCAAAACAGTCTCAAAGCTTCAGACTTTAAGATGCTGCAGAACATCAACTTTTTCTGATTTGTAAAGCAATGATAAGCAATCATTACCACGAGGAAGCCAAAGCACTGAATAGAGTGAAGGATTTGAGCTCAAATTCTTCCCAAACCACAGATACTCAAGTCTGCTTCAGCCTGCTGTATCTCTGCACTAATCCTTCCAAATGCTTACACAAGCAGGAAGTGCCATGTCACATTAAAAACGTTCCTGACTGGCCATTCACCAGGTGGTGGCCCTAACATCAAATCTCTCTCATATTTAAGAAATTACTTCAGTTGATGACAGTACCACTCAAAAGAACAAGAGGAACAGTCACAAGGAAGTGTGCTCCACATTCCAAAGAGCGGAGAATGGCCTTAGGCAAGTGCTGTTACCTGACAATGGAAGACCCTATCTATTTGTAACAAAGCTGAAGTGTTCTCAACTTAGAAGGGAACTTCTCTGCGCAACGCTGCCCCCCCTCTGCCTCTGGAACTAAACCACCAAAGCCCATGATTCAATAATTCCAATTATGTTTATAGAAAATTCCATTCAACTTTTCTTTTGACTTTACTTTCATGAGAAGATAGCCCCCTCCATCACTTGCTTTCTTCAAGAATGCAATTCCATTGCTTTTCTAGTATTTTTTGTTTTAGAAAATAAGGTTTTATTACATAAAAAATAAAGCAATTCCTTAAAAAAATTCTTAAAGGAGCATCCCATGTGCAGACTTTGATAACATACCACCTTCAAGAGCTGCAAACAAGCAATAGATATTTGTACACAGAGGAATAAGCTCCTATATAGCTTTTTGCAGTCCTTGCTGAAAATAAAGTGTCCTAGGGAGAATTTAATATATTCTGTCCATCAAAAGAGCTCATAGAGCACTGCCAAGCAACCAAAAGAACAGATTTTCCTGTCTCATTCTCCTTCTAGTTTCACAAATGTATTTGTTAACTTTCTTAGGTGCCTCATTTTTCTGGGATACACTTAAAACAGAGTAATCCAAAAAGAAAAAAATAAAATAAATAATAGTTTTTAGAGTTCTTAATAGCAAACAACAAATGTTGGAAAATTTCTGTTTAGTTCATCTTATCAGAAGCGGAAAGAAAATCCCCAACTTTCAGTTGCTGGCCTGGAACTCAGATCAGCTCTTTATTTAAGAAGCCCAGCAGTGCAAAAAGCACAGCAGAAGTTTCCACCTTTTGCCTTGAGAAGTCTATGGGGTAGGTTAAATTTTCCTCTCGTTTCAAGAGCTGGATGAGGACGATATAAGGGAAAGTATGCACCAACAGTTTATGGGTACCAGTGAATCAGCGCTGCAACGTTCACATGACAGCCATCTCATGAAGCACAGGAGCTGAGGGGGATTACACACCCCATTAAGAAAAACAAGTCATTTCAAAGCATCATTCCACTGCTGTTCACTACAAACAGGAATAATTTTATGGGATTTTAACTGCTTTCTCAAGTATCCATTTGATTAATTTGTTAATGTACTAAGCCTTCCATCTCTAGAGACTGATGTGCTCAGTAGTACAGTAAGACACAAATTATTCTGGTACTTTCCCTTCTCCTGTACCATGAATTTGAGCAAATTGGAGCCCACTAAGAACGCGATAATGTACAAGATAAACATGCACAACAGCAGCCTAAGGAGCTACTCTGACCACCAGATGGAGCCCATATTGTTTCAGAATAGGAATAGAAACACAAAGTTACAAGCAGGTGCTGAACTCTTCCATTTGTTACTTGTTTTGGAGAACTTCGTGTTCTCCTTGGGGCAGTAATGTCTCTTAACATCATTGGGAAACAAGCATCCTAAAATCCTTAGGACCAAGGAAACACCAGACTTATCACCCAGGGATCACTGAGTTCAAAATATTTTTAATTATTTACAGTAAAATACAACAAATAAAATAGACTCCGAAAAGCACCGTGAAATAGCCTGGGTTAGCGTCCCCAAACTCCTTCCTAAGATGAACAGAAGAGTAACATTAGCTGGTTTGTATTCCAGTTTGTAATGTCTGCCAGAAAAAACAGCAGAAGCTCACCTCAAGATATATCAAGCAATTTAGGTTAACATCTATATTTGAATGTTGTCATCCACATAGAATTTATTGCAGCTGGGCAAACAGAAATACACTGCACCACAAAATGGAAGTACTTCTCATTTTGTGGTATTAGCGCCAAACCATTACACATGGCCTTATGCAGTTGAATTTCTTATGTACTACTAAATTTAGCTTCAACGTTTTTGAAGAGCTGAAGCACCACTCAATGACAAGAGACCTTACAGCACACAAGAGACAGAGGGCAGATTTTTGGTTTTGTTTTTTGTTGGAGGTGGCTGGGATGCATTTGTTTTGTTGTCCAAAAAATATTGTTGTAACTTTATCTTAAATGAGGTTTTGTCATAGAGGAGACACCATCAGTGGCTTTTAACTGTCATTATAAGAAGTGATCTACAGAAAACAGATATAACTTTTCCCCCTCAAGTTACTAAAAGACATTCTACCCCAGCCTTCCAACTACGTAACAGAACTCATTTCCTCAGAGTGCTATCTTTCAATAATAGCATTCAAAAAAACCCAAACAACCCAAAAATGTTAAAAATAAAAGTTCCTCATAGTCACAATCAGAGACTCTAAGTGCTGCCTTCTATTTCTCATTCTTTCATAGTTTAGGGGAGGATTCACAGACAACATCAACGAGGTGTTTCAACACACCAGATGAAATACTAAGGAAAAAACATTTCATATTCAAGTACAGATTCAGCATACCTTTTCCATGACAAGTCGAGCTAGTTTTATTGGGTTTGCTATACATTTAACTGCAGATACTGCTCCAGAGGCCAGATTTTTTCCATCCATGATAATTGCATCCATTTCTACTTCACCTTCTTCATTAAGAACAGAACCACAGCCTAAAGACCAAAGAACAACAACAAAAAAAATTAAATTAAAAAGAGGAGGAGTAAGGGAAGAAGAGTTAAGTCATTAAGAGCTAACCAGCAGCTGATTCAATTTATGGATCTCATCAAGCAAACTTTCTGTTTTCCAATTATATGTCTGACTTACTGGAAGGACCCACCCCCTGACTACAAACAAAACAGCAGAAACGTTGCTGAGTATAACTGCAAAATCCAACTGTAGACAGAAATCTGACAGGGTGTAATGGCTACTTAAAAAAAAAAAAAAAAAAAAGAAAAAAAAAGAAAAAAGTTTTATTTTTATTTGATGAAAAACGCACTTGAAACTCATACAGTCGTGAATTGGTCATAAGATGGTATACAGAATGCCATTTATGCAATTCCATCCAAAATTATATACCAGCTATGAAAGCTAAAATGGCAATCATAAACAAGATTCTTTATCCCTCAGATCACATCACACACACGTAAAAATATCTATTTCACTTTTACAGTTCTTCCAACTGTAGGACACCCAACAATATTGTGTAGTGTTCAGTCCCATCAAAGAAATAACGCCAAAGAGCATTCCAAGAAGCTGTCAAAATTGACACAGCACAACAGAAGTGCTCATTCACTACTGCACCAAAACCTTGAAATAACCCAGTCTTCAAATAACAGTTTATCAAATAACAGTAGATGGAGGAATTTAGAATAAAGATAGAAATGAAATGCTGGGTAGTTATTCTCTTCAGCAATCATCAACGCTGACATTAACCTAATTGAAAATTGATGATACAAGATGAGACAATGCAAATAGGTGCTGTGTTTTGTTGTTTGGTTGTTTGTTTGTTTTTTTTAAATAACGTAAGTAACTCTTCCCAGGGGAACGCTAAGTTTTTAAGTCAACATGTGTGCAAGCTAACTAGGCTGGGTAAGACTGAATTTAGAAAGAAATTTAAAAATTCATGGTAGAACTATAGAGTAGCTCAGGTAGAAATACTCAAACGTTGTACAGAACTAAAACAGGTTTTGTTGTTTGCTTTTCCTGTTAAACTGACACTAGGGCAGGTCAGAAACTACTGTTGGTAACTGCCGACATAAGGCAACTACACCTATGCACTTCTGCCCTGAATATATGTGTATAACGTTAAAACCTCACTTACAGGAGGCAACAACATTCTGTGTCTTCAGAACTCCACCTAACAGACATACCTGCCTATACTCCACCCCAAACAGTTACTTTTTGCCCCCCTCCAACCATATAAGCTATTTCTGAGCTCAGTGCCACATCATTCAGAATAGGTTATTTCTATGCCACACTGATGTGTGGAGAGCTTACACATTCCTCCTTTCAGACATCTGTGCTAAAATCATTCTTCCAGAATTTCCCTTATTTTGATGTATGAAATAGGCCCTCTTTTATTTCTTAGGTAAGCCTTGCCATGTTCTAGTTTCCTTTGTCAAGGTAGGCTCTTCTCACATACACGCTCACAAAATTCCCTCTAGAACAAGGTGTACCTTTCTCAAACAGCAGTAATCAGAAGAACGACGGCCCCCAAGGGATGCTCTACCAGCCTCCTGCATCACCTCATTAGATATCTCCTATGTCTGTTGGAGATCTCTAAAGATTTCCTAACTGTTCCTCTGCAGAAAACTGGAGGACACAACTTGATTATTAAGCTTATTCCTCTCCATATTTATTGTTACTGTTCAGCAATGTCTGTGTTTTCTAGGAAAATATTACAACAAAACAATCGTTTATTTTACAGAGATAAATACCACGAGTTTTAAAAAGCCACTCCAATCAGGGCCCTCTTCACATAGCTGTCAGCTCACTCTGAGAGCAGCTGTATCTAATGAGCACTAACACAGCTGGATGTATATATAAGTGGTTAAGGACTTAGATCAGCATAGTCAGACGTGAACAAGAGCTCAAGGCTCAAGCTCAGTTCAAGCAAATTTTGCTAAAAATTCTTAATTTCATCTACTATAAACAACAGATAAATATTGTTAGAACAAGTATAAGTAAACATCGTTAGACAAAACATTAGTTTAATATATATTTCAATAAGTATACGCTGTCAGACCATGAGAAGGTCTGCCACAAACATGTTCTGCACATTCGTGAAGAAAATGAAAAGTTACAACTTCCTAGCAGGCATTGGCTATGGTGGGGTCTAAGAGCCTGTCCTCAAATGGTGCAATCACTTTGAACGTGGAGCAGCGCATGCTCCTTTAAGTGGCTGTATGCTGAGAGGGAGGCCGCAATGCTCTCCCTGGGGAAAGACGGTAACTTTCCACTGCAGCCCAAACTTCCTTTCTGCAACTCTGGAAACAAGAAATGCGTGTAAGGCACGAGTCTGTGGAAACTTCTCCATATGAAGAGCTATGGGGATGCTCTGAGATAAGAGAAACATAGAATCATAGAATCACAAGGTTGGAAACGACCTATAAGACCATCCAGTCCAACCGTCTCCTCATCACCATTGCCACCACTAGCACTAAACCATATCACGCAGCACGTCATCCAGATGCCTCTTGAACACTGCCAGGGACGGCGACTCCACCACCTCCCTGGGCAGCCATTCCAGTGCCTGACCACTCTCTGAGAGAAGAAGTTCTTCCTTATGTCCAACCTGAACCTCCTCTGATACAAATACGTATTCTGTCCCATATCAGTTCACTTCATGTTATCCACTTCCCAAGCTCAGAATATCAGTATTAGCGATAAGATTGCAAACTAAGGGTGAAAATAGCTTGCATTAATACTGCCATTGTGATCCCACTTACCAAAACATGTGCCAAAATGACACACACTGCTGCTTATCATTTAAATAAATAAGCCTAAATAGACTGCTATAAAGCAAGCTTTCACCAGAGAATCCCATTCAATTAAAATACATTTTCCGTTTACATAATTTTGATTTACAGAACCATCAAAATTAGCATATAAGAAACCAAGAAAGTATGAAATTGTTTACATGGAATGATTAAGAGATGTAAACAATCTTTTGGCTTAAATTTACACTGAAGTTGCTTCCACATTGACATTGGACAACTACTATTGGCCTGAAAATGATGCTCCTTGAGAATTAGGATTTTTTTCCTGCAATATAGGAAGCTGATGACTTTGAAATAGCAAATGTAAGCTATTTGGTCAGAGGTTTGTTTAGAGATAGAATCCAGAATTATAGAAAGCACCAAAGGTCAAACAGTTACAGATTTACTGACCTGAGCAAAACACAGTCCTAAAGGTTGACTGATTTAGACAGCAAGTGAAGAAAAAGTTAATGAGGGAACACCAGCTTCATATTAATTATGCAACTGCCTCATGGTACACATATCTCATTTAAACCTGTAAAAAGCAGGAAATTCAATCCAAGTCCGCAATGAATCACTCAAAACTTTCATATGGAAAAAAAATCTTTCAATCATTCTCAATTGCAAGGTGAGAAAGAAAAAGTGAATCTGTGCACATTAAGCATCCACACAAGAATCAAGTATGCTATCTGAGACACTGAACTCTGACAGTCTTCTTTTCCATGTTCATTCCTGACATACCTTGCTGGAAACAGTGAAGAATTTTCACTGAAATGCGTCCAAATAGTAAACTTGAAGTTATACAAATAGGAGAAAAATATTGGATATTAACTATCATTAACATTAATTGACATTAATTGCTAGGAAATTCAGTTCTAAACCTTAAACGACTCACATCATTAGTTGTATTATTTTTATAATATTATTTAAGGCGGCACTAATTGCAAGCATTAACTAAAACATATACAATATCCCAAAATCTTCCTTTAACAAGAGGTAAAGAATTAAGGCTTAAACATTGCCACAAGCTCCGTACAAGTGACTTTTAATATGAATATTAACTGAACATGCACTCCATTAAGGAGTCCATGTCTTAAAACTAAAAACTCAGCATGGGGACAGGGAAGATTTACGTAACAGTAGGACTGGAGAACAAGAATGAATCAGTAGGTACAGAATGCTGAGAAACAACAAAGACTAACCTGACTGCCTAAGTGTGCTCAGAAGAAACAATGGTACATAACATGCTTTTTTAATTACATGAATAAACAAATAATTCATATTTTGTGACACTAATAGTTACTTCACTACAACATGCATAATTCAAGGCAAATACGAGCTGGTATTTTCACAGTAATCAGAATCAAGCACTGAACATACTTAATGATTATACAGATATTGAATTCTTTAAGAATTACCTGCATTAAAATGAGGGTCATCTTCCATTGACCGTACCGCCTCCTCAACTGCATCTAAGGCGCTGCCTCCTTGTTTCAGGACACCATAACCCTGCAGCGCTGCTCTGACGACACCAGCACGGCATCCCTCTTCTCGTTCTTTGAAGATCCGGCCAGCTCCACCGTGTACCACAATGACAGGCCTCATCCTGTCAAATTCCTCCAGCTGTGCCAACAGGTTGTTCTTAATTAGCCTGTTTTGGAAAGAACTGTGTTTAGTATTTGTTCCCTTCCAAGGGAGACAGCCCTGCAGATGAATGAGCAGATAGGCTGTTTGACTCCCATGAGTTCACCTTTCAAGAAGCCGAACACTCCCTCTAAGGAGCTCCAACAGCAAGTTCCCCCTGTGCCAGGCACTGAGGAACCTGAACAGCCTGCAGCCAGCTGACAGCAGGGCGTGGGGCGTGCTGACCTCTGCAGGGCCCGCTCAGCAGAACTGTGCCATCTCACCACAGACCCTGCCTGCCTTTGGTATTACCTTACTGGTTACGTAGAAACGAGCACTCAAGTCTCAGTCCTGCAAACTGTTAGATGAGTAACCTCACTACTTGAGTACACCCGCAGAAGCACAGATAAAGCCCAGCCCCGCGTCAGCAGCTTAACCACGCTGTGTGGATTTCAAACCTCCGACCTCTTAAAATCGTTGTACTTTGTTCAGAAAAACAAGGCATCAAAACCTGGCAGTTAACCGCCTTCACTGTTCACTGCCTCCTGTGAGCAAACCAGCACTGCCACACATCTGAGGATGAGGAGGAACCTCGTCTCCCACTGATGCCAGAGGATGAAGCCCAGTGAGGGCAGCAGGCACTGCACCAACGCTGCAGGCCCAGCCTGCACTGCCCGGGGCAGAAACGTCTCGATTTTCACCGGGCTGCCGTACGCGAGGCCGTTCTCCTGGAGGCCGCCCGAGCTTTTATTTCAACGGACAGCTGCCCTTTTCTTTCCCCCACTGTCACGTTCTCGCTGCCCTGGAAGGAGGAACCCAGCATAGCCTGTCCGCAGCGGCAGAACCGAGCCCTCAGGGTCCGCCCTCCGCGTTCCGAGTCCCTGCCGGCACTAAGCCAGCCTCACCAGCCCTACGGAGAGCGGAGCCGGACCCCGCTGCGGCCTCCCGACTCCACGGCAGCTGAGTGCGGCGCGGAACCGGACCGCACGGCCGGCGGTTCCCTCACCAGACATGGCGCCCCGGGGGATGCCCGCAGCTAAGATGGCCGCCGCCCCGCCCGGCCCTGCCTCGGAGGGGCGGCACCGCGGCCGCTCGAGGAGGGTGTGCTGACAGAGCGCGGCTGCGGTTACGCTGGGGAAACCGATGTGGTTCTGAGCTCGGTCAGCTGGCGTGCCTGCAGCCCTGTGTATTACGGATGGTAGAAATAGGCCGTCCCTGCCTCAGCCCGTGTGGCGTGCGGGCAGAAATGCCTGCCCGAAGGCAAGCGGAGGTGACAGCCCCACAAAAGCCGGGAGCGGTGCCCAGCAGCGCGGTTTCCTTCCCCGTGTGCCGCCGCTGCCGCAGTGACGGCTCCCGGCGTGGTGCCGGGGCGGCTTCGTTCGGCGATGCGGCGATAAGCGCCCTCATTTCTTCTCGATGATGTACCCTTTCCTATCAGATGTTGCACCACCTTTAATTTCCTCGTCGCTCACCACCGCTTGGTTTCCCCTAGTGTTAAACGAGAAAAATGACTCTTCCCCAAAGCCAAACCCGTCAATACAATACGTGCCGTCCGCCCTTCCTTCTGCTCTCCTTCCAGCGAGCTGGGACTTCCAGTGCTCCGACTGCGTAAATGCAGTGAGGTGTGCGGGGCATGGGCCTGGGAAGTGCATCCAGGCGTGAGGAGGTGAGGCGTCAGGTGGGGACTGGCCGAGTGACGCTGGATGGTGTGTGTCTGTGTAGATTCCAAAAGATAACAAAGGTAAGAGAGAAGTGTGCTGTTATTACTGCACTGCTGGGGGAACGCATCGTTACTTGGTGTAAGAAGAGCTACTAAACAGAAAGTCTCTGGAAAGGAAAAAAATCTTCAAAAATACAGTGAAAAAATCTAATTGAAAATAATAATTTCCAAAGTTCCTTACCTAATGGTAAAAAAAAAAAAAAAAAAAGAATTTCACAGAATTTGTGCAACCTCTCCCAGCATCCAGCCCTCTTGCTCCACTGTTTCTCTTCACTGTTCACTTCCACGTCTCTTCACTCCCTCTTTCTCCTTTTGTTGCTCCAAGCTGCAGGAGAGTGGTGAATGCAGCCTGCCTTGGACTTGTGAGCTGAGCTTAGTTGAGCTGGCAGTGCAGAATTGCAAGGACTTACGGCAACATGCAGTCAGTCCACTGAAGATTAATTTTATGTCCAGTTCTGGGCTTCCCAGTTCAAAAAAAGACAGGGATCTCCTAGGAGTCCAGCAGTGGGCCACAAAGATGATAAAGGGCCTGGAGCATCTCCCATATGAGGAAAGGCTGAGTAATGTGGGCCTGTTCAGCCTGGGGAAGAGAAGGCTGAGAGGGGTTCTGATAAATATTTATAAATATCTACAAGGAGGTAGGAGGCAAATGGATGAGGCCGGGTTCTTCTTGGTGATGTGTAGAAATAGGACAAGGAACAATGGCCTAAAACTTGAACATGGAAAGTTTCATGCAGAACTTCTTTATGGTAAGCATGTCAGAGCACAGGAACAGGTTGCCCAGAGAGGTTGTGGAGTCTCCTTCTATATTCAAGACCCATCTGGATGCCTACCTGTGACTTTCTGTAGGGTACCTGTTTTAGCAAGGGGATTGGACTTGATCTCTCGAGGTCCCTTCCAACTCCTGCAATTCTGTGATTCTGTCATCCTGGACAATGTCACTGATAGGATCAACTAAGAGGAATTTAAATTTAGGGTGTGAATTATTTGAGAGTAAATCTTTATTCACCTTGCTTCCAGTGGTAGCGTCAAAATGGGATGCTAGCTAGATGCTAACTAGATAAAATACTCGAAAATCTTTATTTCAATTGTTTGCACAGATAACTGGACATGAAATGTATATAATAACCTTAAACTGCAAAATTAATGTTGGCCTAACATTGTCATGGTTCAATAAATGTGCCACTTTGTGAGACATCAGTGTCTTCATGAGGTTTCCACTGTAAGGACTTTTTAACCACCTTCTTTACCACCCTTGTTTTTAAAACTGAGTCATAAGCAGTTTCCAAGTTAGCATTGGAACAGTGAAGGGAATACCTTTGCTGTCTGGAGAGGGCCTCCAAAATGTTATTATTATTGGGACAGCTGGTGAAATAAGGGCAATTGGTGGAGATAACATTCCTTAGGAGTCAGTGCTGCACTGCTTCCTGTGTCTCACTGGGAGACAGTGGTCTCTTAAACCTTTGTGTAGGAATGGGATGTCTAGTAGAATAATGAGAAAATCACTGTACATTGAAGAGGTGAATTGTCCAAAGTCTACGTAAACTGTTAAGTTTTAAATCATTACTGCAGAAACCTGACTGACTTCATTCTTGCTAATTTTTTAAGAGAGCTCTGCATGTTTTAATTGCCAGAGAAGCAACTTTAAAAATATACAGAATAAATGAGTTCTTTATATGTGCAGCCCTGTAGAGATAAGCGTTCCTGCTTGTATACTGAATTGAATATACTTCAAAGAGGTGGGAATGTATTACAGGGAGTGCTATAGGTGAGGAGATGCTGCAGGGCTGAAGCTATAGAGTGGATGATCGCACTGTGCATGGATGCAGTGCATGTTTATGTGACAACAGAGCTGTGTCATAGGGTCTGCCTTACAATTTCAGAGGCTGATTTCAGCTGCAATGGCGGCTTCTATTTTCCTTCCAAACCTGTACAACAAAGGACAATCCTGCCTGCCTCTAGAGAAGGAATTCCCTTGGAATGTCATTGAAAGTTGGATTTCAAAAACCAACAAAAAAATAAAACATACTGTAAAAGTAGCTCTTTTAACTTGCACACCTATTGAATCTTCTTTATTTTTAGAGTAAATGCTTATGTGGAAATTTCTCTGTTATCTACAAAGTATTTGAAAATCTTTAAAACGTTTAAAGCAGTGTTCTATATTTTAATAGAGTTCTGGGAGCATACATCATTGATCAACTCTGAAGCTGCTTGAGGAAGCATGATAAACTTGCAGAAACACAGCACTAATTCAAGAAGGCTGCAAACTAGAATCTCTACATGTAGGCAGAACTCGTGGGTATCACTGCAGCATTGGGGTGCTCAGGTGTTTTTGGAAAAATTTTCTTGTGAAGATTGCCCAGAAATAAAACTAAGCTAGAGATAGTTTTGTTTTCCTTTTCTGAAGAGATCTTTGCTCAGAATATTTTTTCCTTTCCATAATACATAAAACACTGATACAGTGAGTGCTTAGGGATGTGATCCTATCTATCTTACACTCTGTCCTCTTCTCTTGATGCTGTTTTCAATGCTTGAAGCGAGACCCAAAACTCAGATGTTCCTCATGTAGCAGATTCCCCACATAAGAAGTTACAGTATGTTACTGTGCGCAGTGTTGCTTTTTTTTGTCTGCAGCAAAAGGGTACTGACAGAGACTGAAGTGTGCAGATCTTTGAGAACACCCTTTGTTGGGATAGAGCATATGATACAATAATAGTAATGGAACATTTCTAATTTATCCTAGTTTTGAATCATACTCAGGTTGGGTTTAACTCATTTCTAAAGCTAGTATTTAAAACTGGCTGTGGCAGTTCCTATCGCTGTGCCATATATTTATCATGAAAGGAAATGTCCACGTTCAGTGCTCTGCTCTGCTGGTGGTGTGCTGTAGGTGAGTGTCTGAGCACAAGGCAATTGAATTCATAGATATCATTAAGCTGGAAATAATTAAGTTGGAAAGACCACTACAATCATCTAGTCCAACCATCAACTTATCACCTCCAGACCCCTAAACCATGTCCCTCAATGCCCCATCTTGTCTCTTCTTGAAAACCTTTAGTGATGATTCTACCACTTCCTTGTGGGCAGCCTGTTCTAATACCTCACTACCCTTTCTGAGAAGAAATTTTTCCTAATATCTAACCTGAACCTCTACTGGCTCAGCTTGAGACCATTCCCTCTTGTCCTATTGCTGTTCCCTGGGCTGACCCCCACCGCATCACAACCTCATTTCAGGGAGGGAGCAGTAATGTCTCCCCTGAGCCTTCTCCTCTGAACAATCCCAATTCCCTCAGCCACTCCCCGTAACACTTGTGCTTCAGACTCTTCACAGCTTTGTTGCCATACTCCAGACACTCGCCAGGGCTTTGATGTCTTTCTTGCAGTTTGTGGCCCAAAACTGAACACAGTACTTGAGGTGTGGTCTCATCAGACCTGAGTACAGGGGGATGATCACCTCCCTGCTCCTGCTGGCAATAGCATTTCTGATACAAGCCAGAATACCATTGGCCTTCTTGGCCATCTGGGCACACTGCTGGCTCATGGTCAGCTGGCTGTCAACTAACATGCCCAGATCATTTTTCTCCATACTGCTCTGCTCCAAGCCTGGAATGATGCATGGGGTTGTTGTGACCAGAGTAGGATTCAGCACTTGGTCTTGTTGAACCTCATACAATTGGCTTCAACCCAGAAGTCCAGCCTGTCCAGGTCCCTCTGTGGGGCTTTCCTACTCTCAGGAAGATGAACACTCCCTCTCGAATTTGTATAGTCTGCAAACTTACTGAGGGTGCACTTAATCCTCTAATCTAAATCAGTACAGATATTAAACAGGGCCAGCCCTGAAATTTCCACACAGTTTACTGACAGAGACCAAAATTAGATTTTTTTGTTCTCCTTTTCTTTCTGTTGTTATTGTGCTAAAAAAGCCCTGAAGCCATGTTACATTCTTGTCACCACACTTCTGAAGGAACGTACTTATCACCTTTGTGCTTTTGAAATCCTGCCCACAATCTTCGCAGTCTATAAATGTCGGCCTGCCCCATTCTACTGTCTTTAACTTCAAAGCAGGCAGATCAAGGTCGATTTTGTGAGATTGTTTTCCATTCTCTTACTGTTTATTCCAAGCTGTACTAAGGTAATAAAACCATTTTGATCA